CATCGGTCGACCATCTGATTCTAGCATTTTGTCCTTTCGGAAAGGTGCCCTTTGTTTTTCTCTCCTGCTAAATCTGTAGAAATCCAACAAATAAATCTCATCTCAGAAGATTCACAAAACGATCGCCAACTCTATGTCTGTGTTAACGGATTTCCTCCCGTGTCGATGTGTACGTCTGTGAATGAAGTAAACCAGTTCCGTGGTAGCGGAATCTAGCGTCCCGACTGTCTTCGGGAGCGGAGTTCAAGTCACGGTCTTCGATTCGATAGGGAAGACATGCTTCGAGCAATCTTGTGGAACTGCTTTCGCATTGAAAACGGGCCCCAGACAGAATTCTCTCCCTGAATGCAAGTATTCCGGCGTTTTTTACGAATCCTGGAAATGTTATCCGGGGAGAAAAAGGAGGAAAGTTTTGCTCGCGGGTCATTCATAAGGGAGATTGTTCCTTTCGACGGGTGCTGTGATGCACGGAACTTCGCGCAATACTACATCCCTTCGATGAACTACACACAGGAAAAATCTTTTCGAGTTGAACTGAAAATAATTCTGCCGGATACTTGCGTCATTTATAATACACTCGCAAACAATCTCGTTGGGGTGATGACTTCTCGGATGCTCCGAGCGAGGAAACAATGTACATATGAGCCGGGAATTTTAGATCCGGGATCGAATTAATGGGATCCAGATGCTATCGTCGATCCAATTCATAATTGCCGGAAAAAAATATATTCACCTTGAATCGTTGACGCTCCTCCCGCTCGCAATCCAAGAACCGATTCGACCCTGTGATAGCTTCCTACTCGCCTCGATCAAACGCATCGTCCGAACCGATTCCCGACGGGTAGCATTCGGCGAACATGTCTTATTCCGCTCATTTCCCTCGACCGCTCAACCGTTCGCCACTGATAATTCCATGATCGTGAGCCGACGTCGCGACTATATCCACCATAGACGAGCTGAAGCCATCGCTCCATATTCTCCTACGGCTTGCTTGCCCCGACTTCTTCGACACAACAATGAAACGGACGCAAAACGCACGACGGGGAACTTCCCTTCGGAAGGCTCCATGCATTCGCCGCCCTGACGCCAGTGCTTCTCAGCCGTGGGCGCTCTTGTGCTGTGATAACTTGGCCCTCATCCCTCAGATGAAAGAACGCTGCTCTATCTTCCGAGCGAAGGAGATGTCTGAACGAAAAATTGAGGAAGAATAGGCAGCTCTTCCAGCGGTCGATATGACGGCAATGATGGCGGGAGCGAAATTTTAATTTCGGTCTGCGGGGTGCGGCTGGACACGGGACGTGTTCCAATCTTGCGATCATTCACCGAACCATTGCGACCACGTGTGAAGCGCGTCTCTCCTTTTCGAATTCAAATTAGGAATTTCTGATTTTGTGCAGTCACGCCGCGCTGCGCACGGGCTCATACCGCGTGTCGGCGGAAGCGCTCCCTAAGACGACGGCGATCATCGGACTTGTTTCTGCGGTTGAGTCTTCGGAGACCGAGGCTGTCGCGGCTCTCGATCGAGAGGAAAAAACAGCTTTGAATAGCTTCAGGATATCTGCGAAAGGTTTCACTGAGCGCGATCGAGGCAGAGATATCCGTCATGGACTTCTTCATGGCGAGGAGGATGAAGCATCGCGCCGGCCGCGACGTCGACGAAAATGTCTCGACTCGTTCCGACGGATTTCTCACCGGTCAAGAGCAGAATTTTCAACCGCCCTGATTCGGTGCCCGCCGAGCACACCATCAACCCACTTCTTCGCCCTCCGCATTACTCCCTTTGTATACAATATCTACGTGCTCGCATCGGGACCCACGTCGCGGTTTCTTCTCACACGAGCGACAATCAGAGAAGCTCGATTCAGAGGCTGTTAGTGATGTGATGATAGTTGGCTCGGAGATGACGTCGTAACCGAGGCGGAGCAGCCAGCATTATACGAGGAGGATTCCGTGGGAAAAATGAATGAGGAAGAGCCCTCCGTCCATCGCACTAACCCGATTCTTCGCCGCCGCCGACGACGACTTTCATTTGGCCACAGAATTCGTATCCATGGAGAACTGGCATCGCGGTGTTCCCATCTGAGTGAGTGCTGGTATGTTTGCGGAAGCCACTTCCCGACTTGATTGTGTATGAATGTTTGCGTGTGTTTGCGAAACGAGAGCGGATTCTTTGGAGATATTTGGCACTTGGAGGTGCTGTTCAACTAGCAAATAGATCAGGCGTTTTCCGTTTCTTACAATAAGTTTTTCATGTCCTCTCGCATCTTTTCAGCATGAGATAGCTGAATCCTTTCACACATTGTATGCGCGACTCCGATATCTACGCAGGTATCTGCTCTCAAAATTACCTAACACTGTAGAACCAACTCAAATTTCACAATATGAACGTCCGTTCCATTAATGACCGTTGTGGTTCAAGAATGCTTATTGTCATGGAATTCGGTAGGTAAATTACCGCAGACTTCTTCAATCAGTCTTCTGTCTCGGCGTGCTTCTTCCAAATCGCAGCATCATCGAACAAATGCACCGCCGAGGAACTGTCCAAGTATCACAAATTTCGGAAAGAGCGTACAGCCTACTTACTAAATTTTCCATGTACTGATACGATCCGTACCTCGGAAGCTTGCTTGCATCGACGGAAACTCGTTATGAACAGGTCAGAAGACAAGTTGTCCGTTCGATATCGGTTGATATAGTGTTTGGGACAGAGGCATCCTGCGAATGATTCGAGATTAACCGATAGCCACCACGTGGAAGAGCGAGACGAGTCTAGCTCGATCACCACTAACTGCGGATCGTCGATCAGGCTTCAACGATCATTGTGTAACCCGTTCTCGATGCTCCCCTCTTGGAATTCGACGAAATCATCACGGTATGCTCAAACTGCGTGTATATTCTCCGTATCGCCTCGTAAGTGTTACGCACAACCAACAGCTGATCGGCGTGCATAGAAACTAGAAACGATTCCTCTGTATGTAATTCCTCCATTCTGCAATATTTCAATACATTATAATTGTTCTCTGGTCTCTCTGAACGCATGATACTTCCGTGGGCCGGTTCGCTTCAGAATGTTCCGATGTTCCGCGCTTCAACTGAACGGAAGCTCACGGTACAGACGTATTTTCCTCGTCGACTGGAGAACTCATGGTTAGGACCTCACCTAGGAGGAACTTCTCCTTACGAGCTCGATATGGTGAAACATGGAAGTGTAGTCTGACTGTGTCTTTGGCTATCTGTCGAAATGGAAGTTTCATTCCGGAAGCGCTGGCTTGCGAGCTCATTGACGAAAACGTGGTTCCGTTCTCAGCGATACGGCGTAAGATTCCGCCCAGTGTACAAAAATGCTCTCAACGACAAACTCGAGTATGTCACTAATTGTGAGATAGATTTCCGACAATTGACGCTTCTAAATATCCAGAATCAGGTCCATTTCCATGCGTGACGTCGTCAACTGAATCGAAAACTGGGTAAATTGGAATATAACGTGCTTCGATCCGCTAGTCCAGGAGCTACTCGATGCTGTCACGGTGTGTCGTTCCTCGTCGTCAACATCGTTCGCATGTTCCCGAGTTCCTGCCGTGAAAGACTCGACTTGTTCCAAACTCGAAAGCTCATCCGTTGCGAAGGTCACAGGGAGCCGATGAGAGGAAACTCCGGATCGTCGTAATTGATCGAAATGGTGCAGGACTGTCGAGAGACTCCGTTCGGAAGAAAGACATTCAGCTCAAAAACTTGTATATTATCCTGCACGGCTGTTCATGGTTTCTTGGATCGATTCCTTGGAAAAAAACGTTTTCACAGCCTGCTTCCGCTCCGTTGGTCGTGTCCGTGGTCTGTGGAACTCGCGGACGGCTTCTCAACGTGTGACGTTCTCGAATGAATTCGCAGAATTGCCTGTCTTCATTCAACACAGATTCGGGGATTAACCCCGTCACCCGTGTAATGCCGCCGCCGCCAGAAACATCATTCTCTCCCGGGGGAAGAGATTCCACGAAGAAGAAGTTGAAGAGTTGATTCTCAATCAGGCAAAGGACACAAACGGGGATTTCTTGGAGACGAGGCCGTGCTGTTGGCAAGCGAGCAACAAAGGGGATGGGGAACAGAAGCTGGGATTGCGGCCGCCCTGAGCATATTCATTGCTGTCAGCTCCAGCTTCGGCAGACGGATCTCGGACGTTGGCTCCGCGGGTAGCTCCGCAGGGCCGGGCTTAATTCGAATGAATTCCGCGAGATCCCGCACCCGTCCACCTAATCTCAGATTCATCCAACTCGCGACCTTCAGACCACCGGCGGATTTCTTCATCCAACATTCGAAGCTACTCCAGCCGTTGACAGACTAAGGGTGGGGGATGAAGCACAGTAGAATATGAACGAAGGACGCGACAGCTGCTCTCTCTGAGCGAGAGGCCGATACGCCTTTCAGAGGAGAAAAAAAATAGGAATTCGAAGCAGTTCTGCAGTGTAATCAACACCGGCGGGAGTAGGAGATTTTTTTCGTCTTCCTTTTTTTTGTTGTCTGTCTTACTACTGCCGACGTCGCTCCTGCTGCTGCTGGGGCTACGGCGGCCACCACGTTTCCCGTTGCTCATCGGAGCAGCTCTAGAGGGGATTTGCTCCGCTGCAACGGAAGCGCGGCCCTCGCACGGACCTCAGAGACGCAGAAAATAGCTGACATTCCAACAAAAGGCACGACATAGATAAGCTCCGCTCGAACACAAGCAGAAACAGCAGACGGAGGGGCCCGACATCGTCGGACTCTCCTGTTGAAGGGCGGGGGGCACAAAATGAAAGGATGGAGAATAATTGGACTAAGTTGAAAGACCGCAAGAGGGGGGCGGGCGGAGTAAATAGCAGCGTGTGTCGAAGGATAAGGAGTGGGGGCTGGCGGGCACACAGACAGGCAGGCGAGCGGGCTAGCGGTCAGGCTGGCTGGAGGGCAGGCAGGCAGAGGAGGGGGGGGGAGGAGAAGGGAGAAGGATTAACCGAGCATTAACCGAACGCTCAATTAAAGTAACCCCGATTCCTCTGTTTTGACGTGTGCCATTTACATGTCAGAATCCGCATGTAGGTTCGACGGAAGTTGGCGTTGCACAGCGCATAGCATAACGGGTTCACTGTACTGTTGATGTAACAAAGACAGTAGGCGAAATTCCACAGACCTTGAGGAATGCAAGTCTCGTCGCCTTCACAAGGACTCAGAGTCTTGATGAGCACGAGGACGTTGTACGGTGTCCACGTGATGATGAAAGCCAGCAGGATGGCCGATAACGTTTTGGCGGCCTTACGTTCCTGCCTTCGTTCTTGGTGCTTCCGTTTCTTTTTGGGCGTCTTTTTTCGTAGTTCCTGTGGTGACCAGGCGATTGTTGAGGGCTAATCGTTCCCGGGCCGTAATCGTTGTCGTACCCGTCGTCGAAGCCATCATGGTCTTGGCCTGTGGATGCGTTTGATGCAGATGTGATTGTTGTTGTGACTGTTGCTGCTGCTGCTGGTGATGATGGTGACCAGTGGTCGTGAGCGAGGATAGATTCTGCCGCACGACGAGAGGCTCCTCTTCGAGAATCATCCGAATCGATGGCTGCGATGTCTCGCCGTCAACGTCCACGCTGTTTTGCGTCGGTAGTCGGATTAGGATTGTGTAGACGGAATCGCTAGAAAACGACCTGGCTGAAGTAGTCGCTGACTTTCCACGGCAACTGTTCAAGGTGTTCATTCCCGATGTGGAATCACCACCTGCACCAGAGCCGCCGCTGCCACCGCTTTTGGCGGAGCCGCCGGGGGTCGTTGCGGCGGCCCCTCGTTCCGTGGCCCGTTTCCGAATGCTTTGAGTTAAAGGCCTAAATTGAACGTCCGTCCGGACCGGGGTTTCGGCCGAAGCGGGGGTTTGTGCACTGGGAGAGCCATGACTCGAGCCAGAATCGTCATCTCGCTCTAGGATATCGTTGGGCTGATGCGCGTCGGGGTTCGTTCTGCACCACGATAGAAGCATTCTCCTGAAGCGTTGACGGGGCCGCATTTCTCGAGACGACGTCGACCGAGGCGGGGTTTGGACCCGACACAAGGAGCCGGGTCCATTGGGATCGGCCGACGAAGTGGGAAGGTATTTACATGTCTCTACGTATAGGCTGCTGTTTTTGCGGAAATCAGCGTCGTCGTCCTGACTGCTCATAGACCTTTTACTGCCCGTGCTCGGGGGCGGGGGTTTCTTGCCGGCTTGAAGGTGCGTGAGATCTCTCTGCCGCTTTTCGGTCTCTCTCCAAATTCGCCAGTACAAGATGATCATGATACAAACGGGCACGTAGAACGCCGCCAACGCGGTGCCGAACGTAATGTAGATGTTCGTTTCTAGGAACTGAATATAGCAGTCGCCTTCTTTCACCGACCGCTTGCCTTCAATATACGGCCAGGCGTAGATCCACGGCGGCCATAGAAGCAGCGATACGAGCCACGCCGAAGCGATCATGATCGCCGCACCACGAGTCGTCCGACGAGCTCTGTATGTGAGCGGGCGCGTAACCGAAAAATATCGATCGAACGAAATGATCAGGAGATTTAGTACGGATGCGTTGCTCGTTAAGTAGTCCCAGGCCAGCCAGGTGTCGCAGATGAATGGCCCGAGATGCCAGTAGCCGAAGAGCGTATAATACGTGAACAACGGCATCGATATGATGCCTATGGAGAAATCGGCGATCGACAAACTGAGCAGAAAATAGTTCGAAATCGTCTGTAGCTGTTTATCCATTTTGAAGCTGATCATCACCATCACGTTGCCCAGCACGGTTATGAAGGAAAAGAAACCGCCGAAAAGCATGATAATCAGGAAGTTGAAATTCGTATGCGGAATCGCATATGGCGAGATCGTGTCGTTTGCAGAAGCGCCGAATGCCACATCGTAGGTCGAGGTCGAAATGTTGTCGTCCGCCGCGCCGAGCGGATCGCTTTCGAACGACGAATCGTCCTTGCCATCGCCGGCGAGGTTCGACGAATATAACGTGTTGCGGTACGCATCCTGCCAAACTCGAGGAATGTTGTACAGAACGGTGGACAGACCCAGCTCAGCCGACGGAGACGCCAGAGGACCTCGACTCATCTTTCCTTCGTTCCTGGTCGTCGCTCTGTTCTCGGCGAAGCGGCTCCGTTGCCTCGCACTTTGACGGCGGCCCGTCCGGGGCGACAGAGATGTTGTCTGAAGGGATGACGGCGGACGAAAATCAGACGACACCGACGGCACCAGCGACGACGGCGACGACACCAGCGACCGGGTAGGGCTGCTAGCACCAAAATTTCGCCAGCGGCAGCCTTAGCATCCATGGCGAACAGTTACCTGGGGAAGAGGCAAAAAAAACACTCGTAGGACCCGTGATGAAAGGCGGACGTTCTCAGAGCGACGTGGAGCGCGAATCCGACGAATGTCCGGGATCTCACCGAAAAGCCGATACAGTGACTGACTGAGTGACGGACTGAGCTTAGAAGGGAGCTCAGTGAGCAGTCGCTAGAGAAGAAACCTAAAACATGAGTGCCGAGCGGCTGCATCTATGTAGGAGGATCAGCGACGGGCTTTCTCGTCGCCCTTTCGGAATTAGCATGCGAACCCCCTCCGGTGTCAGCGAGCTAGAGTAGCGCTCGTGTCCTGACACTCAATCTACCTGAAGTCGAACATAATCCGCGGCGTTTTTTTCTCCACGAAATCGCTCGCCCTCAGCCCCCGCGAACAGTGGGACGAGTGATTTCTCCGCAGACGAGCAGCCCCGGAATACGAAGAGCATGCGACTCCGAGGACTCCATCTTCGGTTCCCGAACAAGCCACAGCCGCTGTCTGTTCTGAGTCAGAAGTCTCCTCCGAACCGTCAACATGTAATTTCCTCCGACGCAATAGTGGTTCTCTCAAAACAGCGATCGGTTTTTTAGGTACGGCTTCGCTTTCTGCCGAGATCACCCCACGTTAGATTCGAGTGATATCTCGTCCAGCTGCCGACCGAGGAATGGACCGGAAAAAGAGACAGGACGGAAGACAGCGAGACGGGAAAATAGCGCGATCCCGCTACAACCGGTCGCGGTCAACAGCGACGATGGATATGTCACGAGCTTGACGTTTTGCCGAAATGCAAATGTCCTGGCCTCCGGTCTCGAGGACCGGAGGCAGCTCTCCCCGGAGGCAGCAACTGTCTTCCGACCGAAGTCTGGCGTATCCCAAGTCCGAAGAATTTTGAATTATCAACGAGCTTCGCCTCCGACTGTCGTTCTCACTTTCGTCCCGGCTCTCTCCGACCTCGACTGAATAAGAGGATACCGAACGAAACGCAACGTCAGGCATGTCGACGAACGAGAAGGCCAAGCGATGGCCGACCGGAGGGCAGGCGGCACGCGCGCGTGCATGCATGCTGGCGGGCAAAGATTGAAGTCAGTCGGAGGCGCCAGCAGAAAAGTCATGAGTTAATTGACAACGTAAGCTGCTGATGAGAGTCGCCTTAAGCTCCAGTCTAATTACTCTTTTCGCGGTGCCTAGCGAGCTTCTTCGAGCTGCTTCTCGTGGAACGGGCGGACGCCGCCGCCGCCGCTAAGTGGATTTACTAAAGCTAGCCATGCATCAGCCCCGGGCCATTGCCCCTCGAAGCGCAGCTCAACGGACAAATTTTCACCCTCGACGCCGCATGGAACGCAAACAAGATCAACTCGAGCGACAACATTGACAACAACGGCGATGAAATCAGCAACACTGTGCGAAGCGTCCGGCACGCACTCCAATCACAGCCTTCCCACTGGAATTATTTGCTTTCGGAAATTCACCGAATGGAAATCCCTCGCTGACTGATTGGGAACGATACGGCGACATCGGAGCCGAAGCGATCGCATTTCTGTGTTTCCCGAGCGATCGCATTTCTGCGTTTCCCGAGCGATCGCGAGCATTCCGTTCCGAATTGTTCCTCTAGGCCTTTCGAGAACCGTGGTCGCTCCGTCGCACGGAATTCCTCGTACTTTCGACACCGTAGCCCTACGTCAAAACACCCTGCGATACCCAGACTGTCAGATCAATGCAGTAAGGGATTACTTGGGTGTGTTCGGTGCGGATTCGGAGGAGGCCGATTGGAAAAATTCCTCGTTCAACTCGGCGGGCGAGAAGAACAGCCAACGTTACGAACCAGAGAGCTCGAGCACCGAAGAATTGTCCGCAAGGTCGTCGTCTCGACGGCGCAGACCTCGCGACGCCTCATAAGCCGACGGTCCGGATCCTTCCTTCGGCGGAGTGAGTCGAGCCGATCTCGAGGCCGGACAAGCGTCGATCGCTCAGTCGAGTGAGTGACTACTGCCTCACTAGCTTGCTTTGTAGATTCTCATGCGAGGACAAGTAATAAAACTGTCCATCCGTCTGTGGGCGAGCGTGTTCATGGGACTATCTGCCCGTCTGAAGACTTCGAGCTTGATCCTTCCTCTCGACCTTTCGCCGCCGCCGCCGAATCGTTTGTCTGCTTGCTTGGTCCTCCTTTGAGGATACGTTCCTTATTTGCCCTCATCTCTCCCTGACCGGCCGAAGATCTCACCTGTTCGTTCGCCAAGTGGGCAGCGGCACACTCGCTGATATTTATAACCGATGATCGTGATGGATCCCGTCGATCGTGCACGTTAAGCTCCTCTACGCAAGGACTTCGAAAAGATACAGCGAGGCACCTCGATGTTCGAATACTGCGCTTCTACAACATGCTCTCACTCTGCACATGATTGTCATCGATCGCTTCGATGAATGCAGCGGATCCAGTCCGTCCGACGGGAGAGCAGAGCAGGAGATCTCACGGCCGATGCGCGTCAAGCGAAACTGGAAATTGCGAACGGTCATTCCGTGCGAGAATGCCAAAAATCCCAATCCGGTGGGAACAACGGCGGGCCCAGTGGCGCATCGACCACGCAACGAAGCCCAAATGTGGCATTCGCATTTTCCATTCGGTAGAAGCAACAACGTGTCGACGAAAACGACGGCGCCAACTACAAGGGGCACGTTTTCTCTCTCTCTCGGCTGGTCGAAGTCATTACGGAAGAGGCTCTCGGTCCGACGAGCGTGTTTCCGGCTGCGACGCCAAACGGGATATTCTCTACTTGAGGCTTCTTTCCATGTTTTCCGTAGTAAAAAATCTCCTCTCCTCTCGCGCCTTCCGACCCTCCCGGTGCTCACCAACACTGTGGTGCCAGCGTCTACCGGTAACAGCTATGGCGGCCACCTCTGCTGCCTCCGCCGCCGGATCTGACCCATACCCCCGGACCCTCTTCGGGTCCCCAGCCCCTCGTTCGAGCGACTGGCGGGCGGGCAGGTCCGTCGGCCGCGCAGCTCTCGTTCACGGCCCAAAATAGTTCGCAGACTGCTTTTCGGGAACTGTTCCCACTTTCAGACTGGCAACCACCTCGCCGTATTCTCAAAACCCACCACGTCTGGATATCAGCTCCCCTAATAAGTTCCTCAACGTTGCCTCATGGAATTGTATGTGGAGTCGAGAGCAGATGTTTTCCCCCCCCCATTCGCCGTGAACCCTCCCGCCTGGATCCGCACCGTAATTCTGTACTGGATTATTGGCGAGCTGCGAGCCGAGGGTGCACTAGGATTTTCTGATGCACCGCAGTGACTCGGAGACCAGCAAGAAGCCGAGGAGGGTCGACTCGTTCCCCGGACCGGTCCCCCTTCCCATGACCCGGATCCTCGGCGGCACCACTTGTTGCCCGCCCCAGGCCGATTCGAAGGAATGCGATTCGATTTCCAAATCTCTCCCTTTCGCCGTTTTTCCGTCGGAGCGTGTTCTCCTCTCTTCCGGGAGAAAATCATCGATTCTGCGCTCCGTGAGAGAGTCTTATCATTTTTTCATAAGGACCCCCCCCCTGCGATAAAATATCGAGCCTGCGATCATTATCTTCGACGACTTTAGGCGGGAATGTCAGGAGAGGTCCAGAGCAAGGACGCTGTCGTTTCGCCTTCGCCCATGCTCGCCTTGCGCGTGCACGCGAAGCGGAGGGAAGAGCGACGCGACGGTCAGGCTGCCAAGCTGACAGACGTCCTGCAAAAAGTGGGAAGTTTCCTCGACTTGCATTAGGACAACGAGACATGACAACGAACACTATCGCGGAGTTTCTCTGCCGTCGTGGTTTTTGGTTACCCTCAGCAACTTGCAGAAAGCGCTGATTACAGGAGCTGCTTCGAGTTGTTACGCAGCCGTCGGCAGCACGTCACCTTTCGACGCATCCGGTCAGACTTCTGCCCAAAATGACAAGGAATAACGAGTAGAGGACAGGCGATGGACGGTCGCAAGAGTTAACTCTCGCCGCTCACCCGTCTCGGAGACCGTTCGTATGCGTGTCCGAATTTCCGCGAAAAACCCACGAACCACCTTGGCTTCTTGCCACAACGATCATGAGCTTGATCAGCGCGGAGATCCGCAGAGCCAGACTTCATCATTGACGTCGACGTCGGAAAGCATCGATGTTTTCGTCAACGGGCTCAGAACAACCTCGATTTGCATCCAAATGGAGGAACTCCGCATCGCCTCGCTCGTAACGTTCGTTCGCAGATACGCCTCTCCACGAGTCGTTCTGAAGGAAAAACACAGCAAACAGGCGAGAAGAAAAGAACACAAGAAATGGAGTCGACCGAGCGGCGATAGAGAACAACGAAATCAAAACAAGCTCTCGATCGAGCTGCTGGGATTCTCTCTTCTTTCACGAAAGAATGATTTCGCAGCGTGTGTCACAAGCGAATTCCATCCATTCGAGCGTGCAAAGCCGAAAAACGACCATGCACGTCCCTGGCTTGAACATTTCCCTGTATCACGAGAGAGCCGGGGCCGGCTATAATGGGAAAGAAAAGACCGCGATCCAGGATTGTCCCGAGTTCAGCCGCCGCGCATTGTGGGCTGAACTTTCTTAATATGAGGGCCCAAAATTATTTTCTACCTGTCGCTATCCAGACCTTTCCAAATATTCTCTCTCAGCAGTTTCGATATTATTAAAACTCGGCCCCAACAGAGCCAGACCTGCTCTCGGCTGCTTCTTCATCAGCGCGCGCGACTTTCACCAAATCACCTGTAAATATGTATCGAGGGTATTCACTCCAAA